TTGTCGTTTACCATTATTTTGTCTTATGTATCAGTTAAGTGATAAGCCTATCCGTGCTCTACTTTGTACCCTGTTCGTTTTTCTGAGGGTCTTTTTGTGTTACTTGGTTCTTGTTGCTGGGCCGTGTGGGGTTGCGTTCATTGAACGCTGGCTTTCTTTGTTGATCTTGTTTATCATATTTGATGAAACTTTATAATGCCACCCAAGGTGGGCCTGGGCCTCATCATGTTTTATTAGGTGTCTTAAAAGTAACAATGTTGTTGCCTTCTTATTCTCGGTTGGCTCATCATCAAAGCATGTAATTCTGCAGGAAATAAACTGAAAATAATTTTAAATTAATTCCAAAAAATAATAGAAGCTTTTGATGTCTCTGAAGAGATGTACAAGAGTGACAGATGAGAAAGATGGTCTAGCCGTTTATATGTCCACCATGATAAACATGCAACGCTTGAACCACTAACAATTGCTTTCTTCGTGCTCATCGTGGTCCCATCTCGATGACTTCTTACCAAAATACGATGGTGACACAACGATATTGCGGGGGCTTCACGTAGTCGTGTTCCCTTTATAAGACTATCGGGAATCTTCGTGTCTACTTCGTATTGTCTTTTTGAGGCTTAAAATGCCAGATTTCACCGATGATCACACGAAGAAAAGACAAAGACTACACGATTTGACAAGATGACTTGACGACGGCCTTACGAAGGGCAAAATTGACATACGAATTCAACACGAAAATGAACCTTCACAATGTCTTCGGGCAATTTTTTGGCATGCCAAATATTTTGGAACCGCTCACGAAGTTGCTGCCGGAGCTTGTAATATTCAGCCGGGGATCATACGAAGGCAACAGATGCCGTCACGAATGGCACGATGTTATTACGATCAGATCCGAATTTGAACATTTCCATATTCGTGTGTCCATCTGATGCCAAATTCGGGACAGTGTGACGCCTGCATAAGCATATTTCCAGAAAATAATAGAAGGGGCGTAACTATGGTATCCTTGTTGGAATCGACGAAAACGTGTGCATACATTACCTATCGTTGATAATTAAATCTAGGAAGCCGATATTTCTGGTGCCGGGACGATTTGGAAAATATAGGCCCGAAACTTCTTTGGACAAAAGTTATACAAAATACTGCACAACACCTTAAGGTTTTTACGTTGAAAAAATATGCCTACTGACCTGTTTCGATACTTACAATCGTAGGTGTCTTTTTTATAACAATCCAAATTGTAAAAAAACTTAGTTGTTGTAGTGTTATAATCTTAGTTTCGTATCAACAATCTCGTAATCTTGGTCACAACATTAAGATACGCGAATATTTCGAGACAACACCCCTGGATTAGATGCAAACCAAAAGTTCTATTTGTCGACATGCAATATGGCAGAACCAAACAATCTGTTCAACAATAAATTTAAGACCACTGCTAGCTTTTTAGGGGAGAACATTGAGCACATACTTCCTCCTTGTCGCCTTCATTGTGCCTCACACTACATATCTCAACAACGTGTATCACAGAAATGTCTTTGGCAATACCTTCATATCTTAGAACTGTGAACGAAAAGGGAGATGAATCTGCATGTAATGCACACATTATGTTATTATCGTTGTCTAACTGTTCAAAATGATTGACATGTTTCTTATTTTTTCTTATTAAATTATTGATGGAGTGACATATGTTTTATGTTTATATACAAGTTTGAATCACGCTTGATGGTAACATATAAACAGTTATTTAAAAAAAGGTTTTGATTAAGCAGTTAAACCGTTTTTATCAGCATAAACCAGGCACAATAGCTGATTCTTTGACACTAGCAAAGCAATGGTTATAGCTTCTTGCGGGATGTTTGAATCCAAAACGCTATTCCGGCCATTCGGATAAGGCTATATCGCCAGCTATTATGGTGCAAAAGTATATTCCCTCAAGGAATCGGTAGTGCGGATCAAATGAAAGATTGATTTCTTCTGTTACCATCCTCACGCTTCCATGTTGCAGTTTTAATGTTTTGAATGACTGATGGATTAGAACTTGATTGCGACATTAATAATCAAATTAAACAAACATCAATTATAGATCGCTTTATGTAGTAAAAATATTTTAATAGTATTTGTTGACATGTGTTTTAAAAGATTAGTACGCCAGTTGATTGCAACCCCGCTCCAATCCAGGCAATAGCAAGACATTGAGGATCGCCGGTAAAGGCCCCGGCCTGTGAGGACAGTAAAATGGTGAAATACCCACTTATGCTATATTGCCAGAAACTTTCACAACTTTTGTCGGTTAATCGATCGCGAATAATTCAAAGCTGTTACATATTTATGTTTGATATGACATGACACAATTATAAGATAGGTTGTGACAACCTTGTTAATGTATAGAACGTAGTTACCTTATTTGTGTACAATAAAGTAGAAATGAAAGCATTAAAGTGTTTATGTCGTTGTCATTGCTATCGCTTTTGCTGCTGCTGCTGTTTTTGCTTCTGCTGCTACTACTACTTATGCTACTAATGTTGTTGCTTATTTATTTATTTTTTTATTTATTTATTTTGGAGGAGGTGGTTTGATCGTTTCTTGTTGTTGTTTTTTTATTATTATTATAATTATCATCATCATCATCATCATCATTATCATCCTCATCATCATCATCATTACGGGAAGTCAAAGTCCTTGACCTAGAAGCTGGCCCGGGCTTTGGCTTGCCCGGCTATTGACTACAAGTGTATATTTAAAAGAAAATCAAATAAAAAATTATATATATTTATATATAGAATTCTATACCTATCAATGAAGTTTTCAGTGTCAGTTCAAGTCGGGCGCCGCCATTTTCAGCGTAATTCAATGATATTAGGCGGGATATTCTGATAACGAACAATCGCAACTTTTCGAATTAATAATAATCGTCGAATATTCCGAGTGAAAGAGGAAGCAGTGCATAAAATACTGATTGAACTTTTAAAATAGAAAAAAATTAACTGACTTCCCCGTTCACAGGCTTTGCCTAATTTTATTTCATTATTTTTTCAAAGTCCGAGCGGAGTCAAAGGCTCCGAGAGGTCTGTAGCATTCTTAGATAACATGTAGGACGTGTATCAATTCAAAATGAAATGAAATAAAAATGATTGAAAAATTAAGAAATATAAATATACCTAACGAGTTGCGAAAAAATTGTTAGTTAACGGGCGCCGGCATTTTTGGCACCGCCATTTTGAATCTACGTTGTCAAACGCTTAACAAACGCCTCAATGGTTGAATATTTAGACTGGTGTAAATGTTATGAATAGCGGCGCTTTTAAAATTTCATTCCGAAAAGGGTGTAAACTACACATATGTTTAATTATTAAACGATCCAGTCCTACAAAAACCGTCTGTTATTTATCGTTGTCGTCTCCGGAGCTTTTATTGAAGGCTGAACGCTACTATATTGACAAATTACTTGTTCTTGTTTAAAATCTAAAATTTGAAATTAATTTTGGATATTTAGTATGCCACACATTTCACACAAATGCCACAAAAATCTCTAAAACTTTGAAGTGACTGATCCAAATTAAAAGCGGGGCAAATCCATTACATTAATTCAACAAGTTAATGTTTAGTAATGCCAAAAATCAGATCTTTATATCATTTTGGAAATATTTGAATCAGTACTATGTTGTTGTTTAAATTGTTGTTGTTTTTTTGTTGTTGTTGTTTTATTTATTAAATATTTATTTTATTTTATTTTCTATTTTGGGGGGTGTTGTTTTTTTTGTTGTTTTTTTTTGGGGGGGTGTTGTTGTTTTTTTGGGGGGAGGGGTGTTGTTGTTGCTCCTGCTTGTGCATTCAAATCTCGCTTTTAAATGAACGTTTTGAAGTTTAGTTGCATTAATTTCCCCTGCATGTAAAATGAAATATTAAAATTATTATTATGATCTAGATGTTGTACACATTTACAGCTAATTTGCAGCATCGATTTTATATGACCTCCAAAGAAAACGAAAACAAAAGAATAATTAATATTGATGACATGTGTTATCAGTCACTGGAAAGGAGATGAATCAAATGTGTGGGATGGTAAAATATGACAAATAGATAAAAAAAAAATTAAAAATGGTGGTAAAACGCATTAAACTTTCAAAAATATTTCAACTTCTACATTTTGCAGGAATAAGTATAAATGGTCAACATAAAATATAAGGCATACATAAAATGACTATATATGTTGTTAAACTGCATATCGTTTAAAGCTGCATGGCTCAAATTGAGCCACAATTCTCAAGAAAATCAAAGTAATAAAATACATGTTACGTGCGATTAACTAATGACTGATTTTGCAATATCTACTAAGTAACTGACGCATTAAAGTATATTTTTGCATATTTTGACCTTTTTTGTAATTTCCTTGGATTTTAGTGCCGTTTGCAATGTGTAAATTTCTTTCTTTGTCCCCTACACAATATCTTATTTTTAAACATATTTTCAAAATTTCATGAAAAGTAGCATGGATTGAGAGGCATGTGGCTTTTACCATACAGTAATTTTCGTTAAGCCACTTTTCGTTTTTGGGAAATCTTTAAGAAGGATTTTGACAATTGTCAAGTAAACTGGTTGATGCCAAATGACTCAAAACTTACAAAAAAGTATTGTATCCATTTGGCTTTCAAAGTGACACCACTTTTGTTTTCTCCTTGAAATATTTCAAAACGTATGCATAAATTGCTTGATGTCGAAATAGCGGCATTCTATTGCCGAAAAAGTTAGTTGATATGAAAGTGGGAGGAATATCACTAAAAACTGCCGAAAAAAAGTTTAAAAAATTTCTAAATGTGTTAAAAACTAAAAATGGCTACAATATATTCTACATATATATATATACTTTCTTCAATAAATCCACGGGTTTACCGTTTATATTGGGAAAAAAACCAGACGATCAATATTGCATTAGTGAAGAGTAACTGTTAATGTTAAACAATGATTTTTGATAATTGTTTTACCGATCTAACAAAATATCGATGCTGCATGACATTTGACAGCGTGTCCGTAAAACAGATGGCTGCCGACGCTTTTATATTAAGTCAGCCGGCTCATCCACAGTGATTAATTTATCTGGATACTTGAAATCGCATCAGGACTATAGGTAAGATTCTTCTAAAATATCTAAATATTTTTATAATAATAATAATACTAATAATAAAAATGATAATTATATATTTTATTATAATTATATGTTAAGAAATTATAATTATGGCAAATTTATTTCAACAAAATATTATTTTGTTGGTATAATTTGAGAGTAGTTAAACATTATGTGCAAGTTACTACTTAATTAAGGGAGATGTCATCCAGAGTCCGGATATCCGAATGTTCGAATCATGATTCGGTGTCCGGAGTCTATACTGCAAAGTTCTGAAAACCTTGTTGAAATTTTATAACAGGCAAAAACAGTGATTCTAAAAAGATTTGTCATTACCTTGTATAGGCTACGGTTTACACATTTTGTATGAGTTTAATAAGTTATCACTACTCGTAGAAGACGTAAATCTTCAGTACTGATCTAAGCTTATATAAGCGCTAGTAAAGAAATGCATTATGAACAAAGTATAACTATATAATTATACTAAAATACAAATGCAATATTTTGCTCGCCAAAGGCTCGTTTAATATAATTTTATTCAACTCGTGTAATAAATTTAATATCTAATCAATACTCATTATTTATTTATTTATTTATTTATTTATTTTCTTTAACGTTGACATTTTCAACTGTTAAGAATAGTCACATTTGTACGCTATACAAAATATGTACTCATCTGACTAAATTTATTCTGAAATGGTGTAATCAGCCTCCTTGAATTTCACCATGTACATTTTTCAATAAACCGTATATAAAATTGTTATAATATTCTTAATTGTTGGTTGCATAATTCACCTTATTCGTAGCCTGTTTGAGACGAATGATTTTAGCATATAATATATGCCCTGTTTGCTAGTCAGTCAGTATATATTTTAACATTTTCCCATCTGAAAGAAGGACTAGTCCATTTAAGATATTAAATCGTTGTGAGGGTAAACATTATTACGCATCTTCATTCATTTATCTATATACTTATTTCATTTGTAGACAAACGTATTCCTTGTATCAGTGAAATCTATATAAGAAATGGCTCAAGTTCTCGGATTCGTTGTTCTCTTGACACTGGTATGTTTAAAGAACTTGAACTTATTCATAATGAAGTGTTTTGATCAAGTACTGCATGTATTTTGTAGGTCAATGTAAAAAAATACATTCTATAATTAAACCTTCAACTCATGTAGTTCTGTAAACAAATAAAAAATTAAACTATTAAATACATGATAAACTATGTCTGTAATTTCAACACGACTCGGGTTAAGAAACAGATACGTTAGAGTTTATTTTAAATTTAAGATTGTAATGTCTCTGCCCCTTCCTTATTTTCAGACATTTTTTCAAATGGTGAACGCAAATGCAAATCTGTGCAAGAACCTATCACTGTTCGATGTAAGTTGACATTTGATCAATTATTAATGTTTTTCAGGCACGATTTTTAGATGAAAAGGGTCGAAAAGACTTTAATTCTTTATGCAATACTATTGAATATGTTTGACAATTCAGCTGATTTATGTTTTTTTAAATAGGTATAGTTCACAAAATACTATCAATTAAACATTTACTTATCACGAATGATCGAATATAAGAGTATGCTATTCTTTGTGAACTTTTGTGTATGTCATAAATTCACATACATTTGTATCTTTTTGTACAATGGTGTCTTTTGGCATTTTTGCGACACATTTTATGTACGTCAAACATTCTGTTAGATTTCCATTCGCCATCTTAGCGTAACAGGAAAAAGATTTGATGCATGCCCACGCAAGGTGTTTTCGTACCTAAGTAAATGTTCGTACTTTCATAAATGTTCGTACCTACACACATATTCGTACCTACATAATTTCTGTTACTTAAATGTTCGTACCTACTCAAATGTTCGTATCTACATTTGATTTATCAAAAAAGGTAACAATGTTTTCCAATCTTATTCAGGATTGTGGAAACGGACATATTTGTGTGTGTGCGAACGGAAATGGAGTCGTATATGATAATCCTGGAGTCACACCCTGCAACAATCTGGTCTGCAGAGGTAAATGATGCTGTGTCAATTTGTCTATAAATGGCTGTGCTTGTGTAAAAATAACTTTATTATAAAAAATGCAACTGATATCAAAATACCGGTAACTTAACAATATAGATTCTATAACTGTATTCACACAAATGCATGGTTTCTTAGTTTTAAGACTATTTGTAATATATACAATGGAGGCGAACACAGCTGCAGTTGATGTTGTTTTAAAATGAAGCTCTTATAAACGTTTACATAACTTAGAGTAACAGTCAGTCAACAAAAGGCATTTCAGCATATACTACACAAGGAAAGCACATTACAAACCATTACATTGGTAATATGGATATCTGCATCAACTGACAAAGAATCCTGAAGGGATGCACTCTCCTCTTTGTCGTCCAAAATTCTTCCAATCCTCATGCGTACATATCTCGTGCATAAATTATTTCCCATGTATTTTGGTATTCCGGTAATTTGATAAGCGTGAAACATGTTTCTCTTTTTCAGACCCTGAATGCTACAGTATCACTGGTAGTTATGCTAAACCTAAAAAGGTAAATGGTGAATATCTGTATTGCGACTCTAGCGACGATTGTGGGAATAATTTTGTGTGCACGTATTGCGGTTACTGTTGTCGTGTGGCAAGCGGAAAGCACACTACAACAACTACACCTGCGACAACCACGACAACGTTTCGACCAGCATAAATCGATTTTTAGCTTGCAAAACTGACCTACTTATAACAAATGAATAAAATAATGTGCAAGCACTATTTAAAATCTTGTTGTTCTAACTTTTCGCATGGGTAGTCATGGTTTTCGTCATATTTGAATGGATCCATATGATCAAGTAAGGTTGGGCGGGGGAGAATATTTTGTTTTAAACATTTGCAAACATACATATAAAATTCTGATATTAACTGAAGTTTAAAGGGCAATGGCCAACATGCCAATATTTCATCATGTAGAACGAAAAGGGAGACACAGACAAAATGTTCATTTCTTCGTTTTCAATTTATTATTGTGTAAACATCCTCATAATCATGATGCCGTGTCAGTGTTATACCATACAGTTGTACATATTGACAATTAAACACCTTTTTTATTTCTTCTTTGTGCACTCTAAATTTAAAACAATAAGTGTGTTATTATTGTTTGCCTGAAAAACGCTTTGTAAACTCATTTCGAGGGAGAAAAAATAAGAGCTGCATATACATGTAATCCCTAACTAGTGTTTATTGACAGTTAAACACCTTTTTATTTCTTCTTTATGCTCTCTTAATTTCTTTAAAAATCAACTTCTGACGTTAATTCAAAGGAATTGTCCCTGTCTTTTCAACATGTATCACATACATGTACCCTTGTGGATTTTGCGACTTCGTAAAAATGTTATTGCACGGCCGTGTATACATTTTGACCTGACGTCATTTGCGTTATACAAAAATATAATGAAAAAAACACTTAATAATAGCGTCACGCTATAGGCACGTCAATGAAAAATGATTCTATTGTACTTTAAAGTTTGAACAGTCTTTGTTTTGTGTATGTGATAAATAGAATGTTATAGTTGTGGAGGTTCATTAGTGAATTTACTGAACTCCTTGAATAAAATAATATTTATCCAACCCGTTCAAAAATAAGATCAATTTAAATGTATATGAGAACTAAATGATTCAAAATTTGTACTGAAATCAAATTGGTATTCAGTTTAATTTTGTTAAGAACATTTCAAGGTAGTACGCTCCTAAACTCACAAATTCTCAACTTACCTCGAAATTGTCTTTACTATTACTTAAATCGAGTAATATTTTCTTTGAAAATATATAAAATGTCACGTGGGTTGGCTACCTGTGTAGAGGTGTTAAAATTCAATTGCAATACATTTTTGTTAGCTATTGAAGTTATAATGTATATAGGACTTCCAAAAACAGTTATTATTCAGAGCGGGCGCTATGGTGCAGAGGTAACACTGTCTACCTTACAATCAAGGGGTCGTGAGTTCGATCCCCGGCTACTCCACTAAAAATTACATAGAATTGTAGAGACTTAACGAATAGAAAATACAAAAAAAGACAAAAAGGGTTTTTAACAACAGAAAAAACTGGGCACATTGCCCCAAAACGAAAAAGGACAGAACAGGTTAGACACCCAAAAGGGACTTTCACCCGGGCCCTGAGAACTTTACAGAACGACAAAAAGGAAAAAGCACAAAAAGGACTGATACAGACAATAAAAAGGGACAGAAAATTTGGGGCCCGTTAGCAGAAGGGCTAAAACGTGAAAAAAATAACAAAAGATAACGGGAAACAAAAACAACAAGTACAGACGGGGGCATACAATACAAAGACGAAACGATGCAATATAGCAGGAAACTGAATACATATAATCAGTGTAAAACAAATATATATACTAAACTAACAAATATTCAATATAAAAATAAATAACGACATAAAGAAACAAGCGACAGATAACAACAAATGCATAACTAAAAGACAAAAATAGACTTATAACAGAAGAACTTACGGAAAACGCATCAACGTATCAACAAATACAGGACATACGACATGGAGTAGTCCACAATACACTGTATAGCACAGACAACAATGGAAAAGGCAGTTAGAGACAAACCAATATACAACAAGACACGTAACAAGGACGGAAAACAGGTTCTTGTCTGCGTACAAACACTATTAAAATGACTAAGAAAACATAAGAATAAATATGATGTAACGGAACACGGATAGCAAACGGAGCATTCCACAAGACACTTAGAAAAACACAGACATGACACAAGAACGCCAACGATATAGACAAGACTTTTAATAACACATAAACAAGACATATAAAACAGAAACAAATGGAACAGAAGGACCGTCAAGTTGAAGAACATTTCAGAAGAGACAACATTGAAAATTGGTCCATTGTAAACAAAGTTAACAATAAATTATTCTAAACCTACGAATTAAATTGTCTATTTATTAGTATATAGTGTGATCAGATTATCTGAGACCATTCGTATAAACGACCTCGCGACATAAATGACCAAAATATCGCATGCATTACCTGCCGTTGATAGATAAATCACAGGCAAAATTGGTTGGAAATTTGGGATCGAAAATTTTTTTGGGCTCAAATTTTACAAAACCCCTTATACAACATCTTAAACCTTTTAAACGCCCTTTTTGTTTACTGACCATTTTTAAAATCCAATTTTTTTGTCCATTATTTTTTCAAAAAAAAATTGAAAACAAACCGGGATTTTTTTAAAATGAAACGGGTTTTGGGGATGCAAAAAAAAAATTTTTGGGACACCCGGGGTTTAAAATGTTAAAGAACCCCCAAAATGTATTCATAGATTTTATCATTTTACAAAAATAAACTATCCTTTTAGAGGCGCATATTGGGGTTATTAAAACCCCAAATTTTCCCCGTGCCGCCCCCCAACTCAAAAAATTTCCCAAAAACGTGTATTAAAAAAGTGCCCGGCCATAAATCCATTTCATAGGCCCTTTGAAAAGGGTTTTTTTGTTTAGCTTTGCTTTGTGCCGAAGAAAAGGGGGGAAACCACTGCGGTAAAGATTTTAATGTTTTGTCATATTTGGTGAAATTTTAAAGGGGAAGTAACCCACTTTATGTAATCTTTTTTATTAAATCGGTTTTATTATTGTTTCAGAGATCTATTCATTTTAAACATTTTTTTATGTAATTATAAGTTGGATGACATATATGCTGTTATGTTCATGAACAATTTTGATTACACTCGCTTATATTATTAGTTTTAAAGATTCTTGACAGGTTATATGGCCCTATATAAACGGTTGTTTTTATATATAACCCGAGCCACTAGGCCATATAACATGTCAGGAGTCTTTATGACGAATCTATAATACAGCAAACTTCCTTTTTAGGGGAAAAATACGATTTCTAAATAAACTCACAGAAGCTGTGTATATAATAAGAGGTTAATACACGGCAGGAGAGGGCCGGAAGGTGATAATCTGCCCGCAAAATGAATAATGGACCCGAGGGCTTTAGCCCGAGGGCCATTATTCATTCAGGGCCGATTATCACCTTCCGGCCCTACTCTGACGTCGTGTATTAATGTCTTTAATACAATTGGTAGATCTAATAGTAGCATTTTTTAAAAAAAAACAAAACCACAAAAAAAAATACTTTGAAGTTCTTTCGTTGAAATTCTTGTCTACTCATCTACTGTTCTGTACAGAGATGTTTACTGTTTGTGTGTTCAAAGAAGCCAGTTTTATTTTCATTTTCTTCGGAATGAATTTGTCGTATTATTTCTTCAAATTTCAATAGTAACAAAAATGTGTTTGTACTTCACACGCTTTTAAGCTAGCGATTCGTGCTGACAACCTTCTTTCACTTTTACCGCTCATTCTCAATAAAACACAGCATTTGATGTTCCACTGGGTAGCTCTTATACGAAGGTTTTTCTTGAGGTCAAAATGTCGTTAGAAAGGTGGCTGCCACTTTGTCTAATAGGGACACTCTCAGTTTTACATTTCTATCTGTTATTTTTCTTTTACAAGTACCATTAATGCCCTAAAATGTAACATACGTTACTGTCGCCACCTAGAATTTTCAACTTTGAAATTGTGTTTCAGAAAAATAAGTTCCAGAATAAACGAAACATGTGCAATTAGTCATTGCTGTGTGTATATGCACTTTGATTATTGGTAAAAATTATATTTGACTGTTACAATCTCATTGGTATAATGAATGATCAAATGTCGCCAAATGCATATAAATAAATAGTGTCAAACCTAAAACAATAAGAAGTGAAACCCAAATTACATAATTGAATCGATGCATGCTTAATAATACAGCATATATATAATTATAAGTAAAAATAAGCTTGCAGCCTCTCAAATATCATTCTATTTTCGGAAATTTTCATTTTTTATTCAAATCTTTTCAACAGCACTTTAAAAAGAAACATACGTTACCATTATTTAAGAGCCAATCCATTCAAAGAAGAATCAAAACAAGAAAGAATATTAACATGTGTGTAACTCTGATATATTAACCACAAATTGTGGCGGCTTAAACGGTCTTGCGTCATTTTTAACCCACTTTCAATGTAAAAATGAAACATACGTTACAGAAACATACGTTATCAACTTTTTAAAGTAAGTTTATCAAAAGGGAAATTGAAGTCAGAAAGCACGTATAACATCAACATTAACTTCTATTTGACATTAGTAAGTAAATTTTGTTAACTTTGGTCGTGTTTTTACTTGTTTAAGTAACCACAGTGAAACAAACGTTACCTTTATCAAACAGACTTTATATTGTTTACACATGCATATATAAAAACATAAAATCGCATTTTTATGACAATAGAATGATGTGCATTTGATTCCTAAATAAAAAAGTCGATTTTACATGTAAGTTTAAATTCCGTGATAAAGTTCATAAATAAGCGAGTGTGAAACATACGTTACTCCAACTTACAATTCAACAATTTTTGAAAATTAAAGATAAAGTTGGGATTAGCATGCCTGTTAGTAACGGTTACCTTGTATTAGATGTAAGAAGACACAAAATTGTTTTTACAAAGGAAAGATATGTTAATAATATGTTGATGTACCAGCAGAAATGTTAAAAATATATTACACGATATTGATGTTCTCAGCAACAACTAATTCGTTTCTGCAAAGAGCTTACTGGCCGTATTTCATTCTATATATAATAATGTTAAAATAATATCCATAAATATAAATTATTTTACAAAAAATAAAATTGTCTTCCCAACCTTTACTTGCATTTGAATAAAATGAAACATACGTGACATCCTATATGGGGATAAATATCGAACTGTTTAGTACTAAATTTTCCAGATATTAAGAAAGTGGAAAGTTGAATATTTTGAGAAAAAAAATTGCTAATACAAAAATTGTGTATGCATTCGACCTCTCATATATTATATATGATATATATCCTTTGAATGAAGACATAAAATAATCATTTTCAAAATTGACTATTTTTGCTTTCTACGAATATTTAACTTTGAAGAAAGTGACTGAAAATTAGCAAGGTACCCATCTTCTTTGAATTTTCCTGGGTTAGAAAGTCCCTCTAGATAGAGAATTTACAGATTTTGATTTTTTTACAGACATTTGTTATTAATATGCAGCCAATATGTTACATTATTAGATCTGAAATCTACGTTACCGAAGAAATACAGTGTCATTACCGAAATAAATGCCATCCTGTTATATCATATTTTCTTGTTCAAAATATTTCTGGCAAACTTGCAAAATACCCTAAACATTTACTTCAGCGATAAAAAATGACACAATGACAACATCAAATTTTTAATATTTTTCAACCTCAAATGCTTTATTTTATTGAGAATGGGCGTTACAATTAACTGTTTAATGACGTAAAATATGACGTCATTGTTTCAGTTTGTGCACGTGCACATGTTCTGCGGGCTGATAACAGTTACTATAGTTCTCGGCCTCGGGCCGCAAACTCATAATAGGTCACGTGACACTCATAATCAGTTGAAATCGTAGGCAATTTTGTTACTTTATATAGTAACAAGTGTATTAAAGCTATATAAACGTCACGATTATCCAATGAAAAACGACGTTACAAACGTGCAGTATTATAAGATAACATATGTAAACAAGTACGTATGTACTGTTGAGTTTACACAAAAGGATAACGTATATAAATGTTCACACACACGCGTACGGTTACACAAAGTGCAATATAAGACCCTTGATGAAATGGACATTGTTATAATACATTTATAAAGCAATTACCTTTATTTTCAACATATTTCTTTATCATAGTTTATAATTTCCCAAAAAAAAAGTTTTCAAAAAATGTGTTTGAAAAAAGTTTTCTTTGTTTTAAACCCCCCCCCACTCCGGGAAAAAGCAAGAACATTGACGTTTGGAATTTTAAAAATCCCCGGGAAAGGGCCCCCCCCTGTGAGGAAAATCAGGTGGGAAGTCCCCACTTTTAAAAAACCTCCCAAAAAAGTCCGGTTACAAAAATAATATTGGGTATAAGTTAAACCACTGCATAAACCCCGGCGGTGCAGAGACGGACGAAAGGTAAAAGTTTTTTTTATTATCCTATTGCTGTTTTGTTTGTTTGATATTAGTTGATATTTTCTATAAAAGTAAGACGTTTACAAATGTCATTACAATGAGTTGTGTCATTTTGCCATAATCAATGTTGGAAAAGTTTTTACATCATATGTCAGGTCATCATGTTTTACCGAAGCTGCTACATTTTCACGTTTTATATCATATGACTTGGAAACATTTGTGCAATTTAATAAAAAACGGTTATAGTCTAGATTGTTACAGCTCTGTAACTAAATGAACAGCACGTGATTTTATAGTTACACAAAATGTATCTTGTTCATGCAATAAAGTTGTTCATGCGTTGTTGCTTGTGTGTGTTTTTGTTGTTTTTTTTATATTATATTTTATTTCAAGGTTTCCGAGCATCATTTATAACATAAAAGATGGCGAAACGAGTCGCTGAGAATTATGCATGGGGTGTATGGGTTTTGTGATTAAATTATTGCATCACAGTGGGGGATTTTGTTGCCAATAGTTAATTGTTAATTTTTATAGAAAGCCAAAAATTGTACTATTTTTATTTGTTTGGGTCGTCAGACCAAACAAATAATGGTAGCTAAATTTCAGGCCCTGATCGATATGCTTATTTGCAAAATCTGCAAGTAGTCTATGACGAACTCAGGACTCGAAGCGGTTACTTCCTTCTATAAGTACACTAACGCCGAACAATTCCGAAAAATTAAGGGGAGACCAGTGCGTAAATTGTCAAATACAGGCGCATTAATTTTCAAAAATCTTCTCCGAGAAGAAAAAAATAAGTTCCGATTGGTCGAAGATTTCTAATTTTGTTTAACATTTTTCTTTAACATTTCCGCAAATTACCGGTATAACATAGTCAAATAATTTTGTTACGTTGATGAATATCATTTTATTCAATGAAAATTGCTCGGCTATTTCGATAATCGATTTCTACCGTAAGTAATTACACAAAGAGTAGTGAAATATTATATACATGTGAGAAGATTTTTGCTAAATTATTTCGCAGATATACATGCTTATATTAAGCTCCATGATTATCTACATCATTGTTAAAGAACAGGTTTGCCGTGAACAAAATATCTCGAAATTAATAAGGATTACATACACTAAGTTTGCTTTAGGTTGTTTTCTTATAACTTCCCCGTGGTCCAGGGGTTACACGCTCGTTTAGGAAGCCATATGTCTAGCTGGGCTTCAAATCTCACTTAATTTAGGCAACTCATGTTGTATTTTGTTTAATTGTTTAAGCCAAATAAGCATTGAGTTGCAATTATCCTTATAGACAATTTACTAGTTATAACACTGGAACAAGCATTGCTGACACTATAGAAAAACAAATTGGTTTATAATCTCACAAACTTCACCTTTCTGACAATCTGAGACCCAAACAAATTCAGCGTCTTCTGTGCTTTGATTTGATCTTATCATTGTATAGCATTACAGTAAAGTATAGATGACGGTTTGACTATGCGCTTTGTTGCGTACTTTAGTCATAACCTCGCTCGGAACACCTCGCTCATTATCCATAGTAACGATAGACTTTGGCTCAAGATAAGTATGCATAAATTTATCACTTTATAAGCTGTTTAATGCTGAATTTGTTCCTAATGCCTAATTATTTTTTTCTTTCTTCACTGAGGAAAGAATAAAATGTATGCAATACAAGTTAAAACACACAAGCAGACGTCCTAAGTCACTTTCTATTTTAAGCTTGGGGTTTTCCAACAATCATAAATAGAAACTTCTTGTGCAATTATACGCACTCTTAATCAGGTAAACTTGTGTTCAAACTGTTTTAATTAACTTTTTATTTCCCATTTTACTATATCATAGTGCTTAATTATTTATACCATTTGTTACAGTGTTAGTGTTACTGTTAGATAAATAGTCATCAATTTGTGTAAACATTTTATAAATGTAACACTAACAGTCACTCCCATCATGATCACCTGTTTTGACCACATTGATAAAAAACCTCTATGTTCATCTTAAAATTAAATGTGTCAAAAACCAAAAAAAAAAGTGAAATATGAGGCCCCTTTAAAACATACTTTAAGTTAATAGAAGGCCTAACACACCAGATTCGAATCGAGTCTACGAGTACGAGCAAGGGGTTCATTTCTTGGGACGTTGTGAAAACAATTGTTCAGATAATTAATAAAAACTTTTATCCCTATTTAACGTTTGTATGAAGCTTCCAAATGAGATCAACCCCAATTCTCTAGATAGCCCTTCTCGTTCATGAAATATCTATCAGGAAACAAGTGCATTCATGCTAAAACTCAGAGGTAGACAATAAAGTGGCACAATGATTCAGTACGTAAACATAGACTCATACATGTTTGTTAGCCGTGTACATGTCAAAATCACTTGAATTTACTAAATGATATTACTAAATACATTAAATGGGACCACTCACAACTGTCAGTAGCATTTGATACACGCGAAATTCGTGTTTCAAACCCCTACATGGTGTTCGATTACTTTCTATGCCGCCGTAAATTTGGACAGATATTTGCAGTACATATAATTTTACACATTCTTCGATGTATAAAAATTGTTTTAGAAGCATAATTATACAGTAGAACTTTGTTTGCTCGAACTTGGAGGGTCTGTGCAAATTTGTTCGAGAGATTGGTAGTTCGAGCCAACTGAGGTTGAACTATTTTCACATAAGGCATATGCCTAAACGTTTTCCAGCTTACATATGTCGAATGATAATTCGTCAATATAATTGTTAGTACATCAGTTCGTCGAATATGTCATTTCTTTTAAATATTAAGAATTATTATCCCAAAGTTTTCAAATGAGTATTAACGGTACACTGTGTAAAAAAGTGTGTTAATCTATATTCATGCATATTGTAAATGGTTGAGTTTGATTGGGCAATTATTTTCCAATCTTGTTTTTATCTATATGTTTATTATGGGATACAATTAATTTTAAACAATGAATTAATTAAATATTAAAAAAAAACATTTAACTGGAGCATTTATTTGAATAAACACACATACAAGTATCATTCTATAGACCTTCACGTTACATGCACCTCGGCTGTAATTAAAGCAGTCCGAGTAAACATCATCTATTTATTGACTTTCTGTTTCACATTTCACTTATTTCACAAGTTATTTTCTTTTTATCATTACTAAAGATGGCAATATTATCATAATAAACAAATCGGTGACAACACCTCTAATTTTGTATCAGTTAACCTTAAATGCCTTTATCCATTCACAAGGTGTTAAAAACATGTGACGCCGGCTGTCACCTATTTAGAAGATGTCGACCAACAACTTTTGATGTCTTTTTGTGTTCGACCAAAAAGGTGTGATTTTAACTATACTTCTGCTGAAGAGACCCGGTTCAAAAGTTCGAGCGATTAGTGTTCTAGACGATCCGATGTAAAAACAATATACATTATATAGGAATTTTGCCAGGACTGGGCGATGAGTTCTAGCAAAAGGAGGCATTCGAGCAATCCAAGTTCGAGCAAATGAAGTTTAACTGTATACATAAATAAAATTTCACTTACGTTTGGTTACAACCTTAATTACAACATACAGGATCTTTAAAGATCATTTCTTGAGGAAAGACAGAGCACAGATGATGACATTTATCCTTGATATCCATAGTTCACCATTGGTTAATTTCTAATTAGCTTGGCCCACTGACCAGGACCCATGTAAAGACATTCATCTGCATACAATGCAGTTCTTAAATCATTTAGACAAAACTGTATTCTGATTATGGAGGAGGTATTTTACCTTCTAAATATGTCCTCATTATATTACTGGGATATTTAATATCACTGATATTGACTTGCGACATTTACATGTACAATGTCTTCAGTTTCAAATATCAAGTAATAGAAAGAGCACCGAAACACGAGGCTATCTGATTTGTACGAGGGGGCGTAGCCCCCGAGTATTAATCAGATTGCCGAGTGTTTTGGTGTTCTTTCTCTTTTGTATCATAGTCAAACATAAAAGCACATTCCCTGTTGTCACAATATGAAACCCCGGTAAAAATGAACCAATGAACGAACATCTGAATATGACATTTCTGTCACTTTCCCTTTCTCTGCCGTCACAATATGTAAACCCCAGCAAAAATGAGCCAATCAATGGGCATGCTCTGGAGTGCAGGTAACTAATACCCGCACTCCAGTTAACGCACTGTGCATGTATATGTATACGATTTAACCCTGACACATTTTCAACAGAAAGGTCTCCAAACTATGATACAAGTAATAGAAAGAGCACCGAAACACGAGGTTATCTGATTTGTACGAGGGGGCATAGTATTAATCAGATTACCGAGTGTTTTGGTGTTCTTTCTCTTTTGTATCATAGGATTTAACCCTGACACATTTTCAACAGAAAGGTCTCCAAACTATGATACAACATATACATGTAGTTCTTTTGATATTAAAATACCTTCATATGCTTTCAGATGTAAATTGTACATGTGTTGGAAACAGAAACTACGAAACCCAATTCAGAGAAGAGCACCTTAATGGGATTTAAGCCTTTACACTACCAGTTATGAGTGAAGCAACCAGATTGTTCGACTCGGACGAAGACCTAGACTTGACTGATACAAAACTTCATGCCTCTGATGAGGATGATGATGATGATGATGAATTAATCAAATATATAGATTTACCAGGTAATGTTAGAGTTAATATTCTGTTAGTTTTAACATTATTTAATAATGTAAGAGTTAAAAATCTAATAATGTTAGAGTTAATTTTTAGAAAGTTTTAACATTATTTAAGCCATTAATGCATGAGCATTTTTTTTAAAAAATGGCTGTTTTCATTGAAAAGCCTCTTGTTACAAGTTCAAATTGCTATGAAACTATAAAAGATGCTTCAATACTGTCAGATCAAACTTGGCACAAATGTTGACTGGGTCATAGCCTTTGTAACAGTATGCTCAATCTTAAATTTCCTGTTACCATGGCAATGACCGGACATCTCTAAATTGCCAAAAATCTCTATTTTGTGTTGATTTTTAGCTTGACTATTCGATAAGAATAAGTAGAGCTATTGTAGTCACCCCAGCGTCGGTGTAACCACTTATGTTAAAGTTTTTGTAATACCTCAAATTTTTTCAAAGTCCATGGACATATGGCTTTGAAACTTTGCACACTTGTTCACCATCATTACCCCAACCTGTAGACAGGAGGAGCTAAGTGTATCAAGCATTTTGACAGAATTATGCTCCTTTTTCGACTTAGAATTTACGCTAAAGTTTTGTTATGCCTCAAGTATTTTCAAATTCCATTGACATATGGCTTTGAAACTTTGTACACTTGTTCACCACTATGACCCAAACCTGTAGACAGATGGAGGTAACTGTATCAAGCATTTTGACAATATTATGCCCCTTTTTCAACTTAGAATTTATGTTAAAGTTTTTGTAATGCCTCAAATATTTTTCAAAGTCCATTGACATATGGCTTTGAAACTTTGCACAGTTGTTAACAATCATGACCTCAACCTGTAGACAGGAGGAGGTAGCTCTATGAAACGTTTTGACTGAATAATGCCCTTTTTCGACTTAGAATTTACGTTAAAGTTTTTGTAATACCTCAAATATTTTTCAAAGTCCATTGACATATGGCTTTGAAACTTTGCACAGTTGTTAACCATCATGACCTCAACCTGTAGAAAGGAGGAGGTAGCTCTATGAAACGTTTTGACTGAATAATGCCCTTTTTCAACTTAAAATTAACATTTAGGCATACCACCTCAGATATTTTCATATTCTATTGACAACAAGTTGAAATTTAATACTCTTCTTTGAAATCATAATAGGACTCTCTCCAAGGCCTATAACTGTAACATGGATTTAAAGAAAAAATTTGCCCTTTTGTTAACTCAGAAAGTTTTACATTATCAAGGCTCTTGTTTACTATCAAGCACTAAGAATAGTCAAGCGTTGCTGTCCTACCGACAGCTCTTGTTTCCATACAAACTGATTTTAAAGTTTACAGTATCCATGCTCTTGTTTACCTATCAAGCACTGAGAATAGTTTAGTTTGCTGTCCTTCTTAAAGCTCCTGTTTGACAAAATTTTATTTCTATTTATAATTTATGACCCTGACCATGTAAAAAATTTATATATTTCTAACAGGTGTTTTATTGTTTGAAAAAAGCTGGGTCATTTTCTTAAAAATACAAGCTTGTTAAAAGATTATCAAAAGATAACTTGATGACCATTAAACAGTTATATCCTCTGTAAATATTTTCACCAGCTGGCCTATTTTTTTTACGAATGTGAACTGTCATAACCTGTTTTACTGTATTGTTTTAGGAAAAGTGACATCGTCAGATGGTAAATATATTGAAAGTTTTGAATTCAAGCCACTCACTTCACCATCAACAAAAGCAAAGGAGAAAAGTAAGTATTAGAGGTCACTAATCTTCAATTTCTGTTTTGGAGGATTCTTTTCAGCAAAGTGTTTATTATTGCAGACTTCATGTCAAAAAATCCTCCAAAACGGCTGTCTGGTTGACTTAAAAATAAATTCTTCTTCTCAAGTGCCTTCTTGTGCCTTGATATAATGCACAGAGCAAAATCTGAAGTCTTTTACCACTGTATAAACAAAAAAATGCAATATGACATTTTCAGTGATATTGTTACTTAAAACCCAACCCATTTCCCAAGAACTCATTTCAATCTGAGTTCAAAAACTTACTTCAAGCAAAGCTCAAGAATTTATTTCAATCTGAGATCAAGAACTTATTTCAATCTGAGCTCAAGAACTTATTTCAATCAAAGCTCAAGGACTTATTGCAATCAAAGCTCAAGAACACATTTTAATCAAAGCTCAAGGACTTATTTCATTCAAAGCTCAAAAACTTATTTCAATCAAAGCTCAATACTTTATTTCAATCCGAGCTCAAGAATTTATTTCAAGCATAGCTCAAGAACTTATTTCAATCAATGTTCAACTTATTTTAATCAGAGCTGCAGAACTTATTTCAATCAGAGTTCAAGAACTTATTTCAATCAAAGCTCAAGAACTTATTTCAATCTGAGCTCAAGAACTTTTTTCAATCAAAGCTCAATGACTTATTTTCAATCAAAGCTCAAGAACTCATATCAATCAAAGCTCAAAGACTTATTTCAATCAAAGCTCAAGAACTATTTCAATCAGAGCTCAAGAACTTATTTCAATCAAAGCTCAAGAACTTTTTTCAATCAAAGCTCAAAAACTTATTTCAAACTGACCTCAGAAACTTATTTCAATCAAAGCTCAAGAACTTATTTCAATCTGAATTCAAGATTTTTTTTTTTCAATCAAAGCTCAATGACTTATTTTCAATCAAAGCTCAAGAACTCATTTCAATCAAAGCTCAAGGACTTATTTCAATCAAGGCTCAAGAACTATTTCAATCAGAGCTCAATAACTCATTTCAATCAGAGTTTAAGAACTTATTTCAATCAGAGTTCAAGAGTTTATTTCAGTCAGTGTTTTGACAACCTATTTTAGGAATGTTAAAGAACTTAATGCAATGAGAGCTCAAGAACTTTTTTCAATCAAAGCTCAATGACTTATTTCAATCAAAGCTCAAGAACTCATTTCAATCAAAGCTCAAGGACTTATTTCAATCAAAGCTCAAGAACTTTTTTCAATCAAAGCTCAAAAACTTATTTCAAACTGAGCTCAAGAACTTATTTCAATCAAAGCTCAAGAACTTATTTCAATCTGAGTTCAAGAATTTTTTCAATCAAAGCTCAATGACTTATTTTCAATCAAAGCTCAAGAACTCATTTCAATCAAAGCTCAAGGACTTATTTCAATCAAGGCTCAAGAACTATTTCAATCAGAGCTCAATAACTCATTTCAATCAGAGTTTAAGAACTTATTTCAATCAGAGTTCAAGAGTTTATTTCAGTCATTGTTTTGACAACCTATTTTAGGAATGTTAAAGAACTTAATGCAATGAGAGCTCAAGAACTTATTTCAATCTGAGCTCAAGAACTTATTTCAATCAAAGCTCAAGAACTTATTTCAATCAGAGCTCAAGAACTTATTTCAATCAAAGCTAAAGGACTTATTTCAATCAAAGCTCAAGAACTCACATCAATCAAAGCTCAAGAACTATTTCAATCAGAGCTCAAGAACTATTTCAATCAGAGCTCAAGAACTAATTTCAATCAGAGCTCAAGAACTAATTTCAGTCAGAGTTTAAGAACTTATTTCAATCAGAGTTCAAGAGTTTATTTCAGTCATTGTTTTGACAACCTATTTTAGGAATGTTAAAGAACTTAATGCAATGAGAGCTCAAGAACTTATTTCAATCAAAGCTTAAGAACTTATTTCAATCAGAGCTCAAGAACTTATTATAATCTGAGCTCAAGAAATTATTTCAATCTGAGCTTGAGAAATTATTTCAGTCTGATCTCAAGAACTTATTTCAATGAGAGTTGAAAACTTATTTCAATAAGTGTTTAAGAACTTTTTGAAGCAGAGCTCAAAGGTCAAGGCAGCTCCTGTGACATTTACCTTCTTAGTAGACAGATCAAGCTGAGATTGCTGGAAACGACTCTAATGAAGGCAAATCCTGCATTCAACAATTTTGAATTGTTGCTCAAATAAAGCTAATAGACATAGTGGCTGCAGCTAAGATTTGAACTAAAATTACTAACACTGAAAGTAAAATCTGCATTTTGCAAAATAAAATAATCCTACTGTGGACAAAACAAGTTTGTTTTTTTACCTTTTTTTTTTGGTTGTATGTGCTAATTTTTGTAGCTCTAGCAAAGGAAAATTGTAGAAAATTTCTACTACTTTTGTGAATAGCTTCTTATTAATATTTTTTTCCATTTCTTTCTTAGCTAAAGTGACACACAAGAATGCACCAATTGTCTTGTTGTCCGACACAGAAAGTGATGTGGTAAGAATGATTTATTGTTGAATTCTTTATGTTCATGTATTAAATGGTTTGCAAGAACTGTTTGACCTATGTATAAGACCATCTTTTTGTTTAAGGGGCTCTAAAATATTATGCAATAAGATACAATGTAGTATTAACATTTCAAATGCATAATGATAATAAAGAAATATTCAATAAAACCTGGCAACCTTTTCTCACCTGAAAAACAATTCATTTACACTGGTGCAAACCTTCCCAATCCCAACCATCTATCTTTTCTTTGACCTTTTGTTTATTGAATAAAATGGGGCCATCAATTAGGGTATGGCCATAATCCATGCTATTGAAATCATGATTTTTTTGTTTATTTATTTATATCTGCTGTATATGCAAAAGTGATTTTGTAAGGTAAGCATTAGACTGTTCCCTGAACCATACTGATCATTTAGATGGGGAGATGGGGAGAATAAATTGGACGGGGTCACCCTCATTGTTGGGGCACGAAAACAAGAGAGAAAAAACAGTGATAATGTGTAATAAAATAGTAAATCCATCGCAGGTATACTCATACATGTATTATGTGATAAAATGGAATATAAACATTTCAGGCACTCGAAAAAATTGTATGTGATAAAATTTTATCTAAACAAAAGTTATATGTGATCAAAATAGTACTTAAACATTTTTGGGACACAAAAATGATGTGTGATAAAGTACACATAGTATTGAAAACGTTTCTGCCTTACCAAAAATGAATTCACAGCATGTATTTATAATTTATGATTATATTACATAAACATTTCAGGAAGAGGTTGAAGTTAAACGCGAGACCTCATTCCTAAGTGAGCCACCAGACTACGAGAGCCCTGAGGAGGATGAAAGGACGGACGTAAAACGTGCTGGCTTTGGAGATGTGAACAAGGATAGCTCGGGTGAAATGGGATATAAAGAGCTGTTGGAATTATGCGGTCAAGACGTCGGTGATGATGACCATGAGATGGAATATGATGATAATTATCATCATGTTGATGATAGTGATGATGAAACCTATTATTCAGGAACCACAAAGATCAAGGTCAGATTTGTTGATTTTGTCACAAGAAAACCATCTTTAAAACTTGATACTCTTATATAATTATTTAACATCTACATTGAACCCTTCACAATTTGACCTTGCATGACAGGGATTTTGGATTCTTTCATGTGAGGAAGCTATCCAGAATGTGAGGAAGCTATCCAGCTAGCTTACAGAACATCAGTGGTTCTACTCAGGTGCCTGTTGATTCCTGAAATAATGCAAATAGGGGCACCTGAGGTCTTCTCCACCAGTAAAGCTGGAGCATCAATATAGATCTATACTGTGTCGTTGTGACGTTAAAACCAATCAAACATACAAAATTTGACTTGGAACTGTTCATAGTTAATTCATCTATTTCAATAACAGTTCACTACAATTTACATGCTTAGTTGGCCTGGTCAGAATGTTGGCATGAGAAAGTTATTATGGCTACTGGGACTTAGAAAAGTTAATCGTTCTCATAAGAATTTGTAATAACCTGTCTCTTTGGAGAAAGGATATTTTCTGTGTTCACAAAGATTTTTGTCATTTTTCCCAAAATTGCTGGTTATTGCACCTAAAACTTCCCAGTACAAACTGGAATACACTATTAAGGCATTCAGTGTAAAAGAATTATTAATTGGAGATAGTGCTCAAATATGATGACATTTGTAGTAAGTAATGATTGCGTGGCTTTGTTACAGACTAAAACTCACTTAAAGAGGAAATCTCCGTACAGTGTGAAGGATAGAAGTAAACCTGTTAAAGGGAAGGGGAAGCGGCCAGTGTCAGGGATGCGCAAATTTAAGTCGAGCAGCCAGGGACGAAAATCACCAGAAAGCACAGGAACAGATCAGGTACGGTGTTATCTTTGTTATGATTTTAGCTCATAACCTGCTTGATGTCTAATTATCTTACTGGTCTAATATGTCATATAATGTCCATCAGAGTTAAAATGGTTGGTGTGCAGGTAAAAGTTATAATTACTTTACATTTTGTAATAAATGATCTCAATTTTATATTCTACTTCATATGGATAAACAATAAATTACTGACACAGAAAGGAGTGTCCATGAGTATCATTAGCAATTTATCAGTTATGTTCAATTGATTTAAAGAGTGGTGCAGCAGTGTCTATTTCAGAAGTACAAAAACAGGGACGAATTCCCCGCCCCTCACTTTATGGATGTAACTATGTCCTAGTTATATTTATACATTTCCTTTCAGAATCTTGTGGTTGTTGACTCTGCAAGGCCTATTTGTTTCGGAGACAGGCCGGTTGACCTTAATGCACCTATAGTTGAAGGTTAGTATATAATTTGTTCTCTCAGTATTTTGCCTAACTACCATACAAATATCTGACTAATAAGTAAAGGTATAAGCGTGTAAGTGTTTAAGAACTCAATTTTTTTATGCTCCCCGAAAAATTTCGGGGGAGCATATAGTCGTCGGGTTGTCCGTCCGTCCGTCCATCCGTCCGTACGTCCCAACTCGTGTCCGGCCAATAACTTAGTTATTTGAAGTCGGATTTTAAAACTATTTCACAGAAATGATCACCATATTGAGACGACGTGTCGCGCGCAACATTTGGGTCGCTACCTTGAAGGTCAAGGTCACAGCATGACCTTGCATCAAAATCGTGTCCGGTCCATAAGTTCTTTATTTAAAGTCGGATTTTAAAACTATTTCACAGAAATGATCAACATATTGAGACGACGTGTCACGCCCAACATTTGGGTCGCTACCTTGAAGGTCAAGGTCACAGCATGACCTTGCATCAAAATCGTGTCCGGTCCATAACTTCTTTATTTGAAGTTGGATTTTAAAACTATTTCACAGAAATGATCACCATATTGAGACGACATGTCGTGCGCAACATTTGGGTTGCTACCTTGAAGGTCAAGGTCACAGCATGGCCTTGCAGCAAAATTGTGCCCAGCCCATAACTTCGTTATTTGAAGACGGATTTTAAAACTATTCCACAGAAATGATCACCATATTGAGACGACATGTCGTGCGCAACATTTGGGTCGCTACCTTGAAGGTCAAGGTCACAGCATGACCTTGCAGCAAAATTGTGTCCGGCCCATAACTTCGTTATTTGAAGTCGGATTTTAAAACTATTTTACAGAAATGATCACCATATTGAGACGATGTGTTGCGCCCAACATTTGGGTCGCTACCTTGAAGGTCAAGGTCACAGCATGACCTTGCAGCAAAATCCTGTCCAGCCCATAACTTCGTTATTTAAAGTCAGATTTTAAAACTATTTTACAGAAATGATCACCATATTAAGACTTTGTGTTGCACGCAACAATTTGGTCGCTACTTTGAAGGTCAAGGTCACAGCATGACCTTGCAGCAAAATCATGTCCAGCCCATAACTTCGTTATTTGAAGTCGGATTTTAAAACTATTTCACAGAAATGATCACCATATTAAGACAACGTGTCGCGCCCAACATTTGGGTGGCTACTTTGAAGGTCAAGGTCACAGCATGACCTTGCAGCAAAATCTTGTCCGGCCCATAACTTCGTTATTTGAAGTCAGATTTTAAAAATATTTTACAGAAATGATCACAATATTGAGATGATGTGTCGCCCGCAACATTTGGGTCGCTATCTTGAAGGTCAAGGTCACAGCATGACCTTGCAGTAAAATCGCGTTCGGCCAGTAACTTTGTTCCTTGAAGTCGGATTTAACAACTATTTCCCAGGGATGATCACCATATTGAATCGACGTGTCACATGCAATATTTGGGGCGCTACCTTGAAGGTCAAGGTCACAGCATGACCTTGCAGCAAAATCGTGTCTAACCAATAACTTCCTTATTTGAAGTCTGATTTTACAACTATTTCACAGAAATGATCACCATATTGAGACAATGTGTCGTACACAACATTTGGGTTGTTTTTACACTTTGAACTTTGCCTGTGACATAACTCTGACACTACAAGAGGTATACCTTGCTGTGTCCAAAACCTATTCGGGGAGCATCAACCGGCTCTTATTTAGATCTGTAGATATTCTTTAATAATTAAGTAAAATGATTTACAAAATTTATCATATTTTTTACTGAATGCTATACAATAATACATACATGTTTATATAATAAAATGAACACAAAAAAACTGTGGCCGAGTGGTTAAGGTTGTTGACTTGAAAGTGTAATATGTCACTCAAAGCTGTTCTGTATCTCCCAAAGAACCGATACTTTTTATGTGAAGAAGCTATCCAGCTGACTCCCAACAGGTATTACTTAGAATTCAGCATGTTCAACAAATGACACCAAACCACTTGCCTGTCACCATGTGGGCTAGAAATCCTGCCAGGGACTTTGGATTCTTTCATAGGAGAAAGCTATTGGAATGTACCCTGGCATTCCCATAACAGCTGCTAAGCCATTTTATGCTAATTAGCAGGCGGGTTAATATGACATCATAGCCTTGTAAAATCAACAAAATTTTACCCCGAGAACCTGACTAACTATAGGAAAACATGTATTTATCTATTTTTGGTGTAGCATGTCACATTATTTTATAACCGTTAGAGGTTGCGGCCAGATTTCCATATCAGGGTATGCATAGCAGGAAAATACATACCAGATGAAAGGGGCTGATGTAGTGTTCATAAGAATTTGATATTTTTCATTCTATATCCAGTGACAGTATACTTAAACTGTAGAAAAAAATACAAATAATTCAGGTGCTTTAACTTTTAAGTTGAAAATGCCCATTTATTTCAGTAGGAGTTATTATTCCTTTTTACTTTCCAGAGATTTCTGTGATACCTCCGCCACCATTGATGTGTGAGGCGTGTGAGAAGGAGACTAGCCATAACAGTATGGTACAATGTTGTGACGGTCACCTCGACTGTATGCGGTGTGTCGAAGCCTCGGCTAAGAAAGTTCTGGTCGGGGAGAAGAAAGGCTCTGTGGAGTGTCCTCAATCGGACTGTACCAGTTCTGTTCCCTTGAGTAAGATATGTTTGTTTCTTTTATTAAGTGCCGTAAAAAAGCAAATAACGTCAACAGACTAGTTTTTGCTAATGAAAGAAAAAAGGTAATGACTTATCAATAAGGTGCAGTATTTTGTCATTAAGAATGAAACTTTATGTGATACATAATTATGTAGATAACAAATGACTTTCCCATTGTTGGTGTGTTTTAAAGCAACATAATTCTCTTTTTTTCTACTGTCTAGCAAAGATAAATTAGTCGTGCATTTCAAAAGATTGACCTTTACATTGGCGACTGAACATTAATTAACAGTGATGAATGTTTATGCTGTATAAATCTTTGACATGATTGTGAATCGATTGTGCTTGTCAGTGTCAGCAGTTAATACAGTGCATGTTTTATCACTGAGCTATATTATATATGAGCTGTGTCACGACAAAACCAACATAATTTGTTTGCGACCAGCATGGATCCAGACCAGCCTGCTCATCCACGCAGTCTGATCAGGATCCATGCTGTTTGCTTACAAACCCTATAACAAGTAGAGAAACTGATAGGGAACAGCATGGATCCTGATCAGACTGCGCGGATGCAGACCCATTATGTTGGTTTTGTCATGACGCGGCTCATATCTTGTTTAATTAGTCTCTAGTTTGATATATACCACAAAACACCATCTTGGTTTCCAATTTTCACTTTTCTTTGTGCAGATTCTACTAATCTACTTGTTAATACTAGCTGACAAGTAAAATTTTTAACTCTTAGTTGTCATTTCTAAGCTTTGTGTCTCACACAAACAATTTAAAAAACATGAAATGACAGCTATAATGCTTTATGACAAGTCTGTCTTTAATGGCTTGAAGTCCATCTAATTGGCTAAAAGTCAGTCTAATTAGCTAAAAGTCAGTCTAATTGGCTAAAAGTCAGTCTAATTGACTTGTAGTCAACTTTATTGGCTTGATGCCAGTCCTGTTGGCTTGACAACTATCTTACTAGCTTGAAGTCAGCCATTTTAGCTTAATATGATCCTTATAGGCTTGAAGTCAGCAAGTGATTGACTTGACATCAGCCATAATGGCTTGACAACAATTTTATTGGCTTGAAGTCAGCCATATTAGCTTGAAACCTGCCACATTGGCTTCCTGTATTGAGTTTGAAAAATGTTCATAAAAATGTAATGTATAAATCTCTATGTTTACCAGGTGAATTGAGAAAGGCTTTACCAGCTATAGTCTTAGACCTGCTTGAGGATAAGTGGAACAGAGAAACAATGGAGGCACTAGAGAATATGAAAGATGCTGTCAAGTAGGTGTCTATCTTATACATATACCATGTATATATATATAACTAGCATACATGGTTTTGTCAGGCTAGGCATATTTTGTTCATGACGGTAGATATCAGACATTGGTTACACTGGTCATTTGTCTCTTACAGCTGATTCAGAAACGGTATCTGTCAGTCATTTATGGAGATATTCAAGTAATTACTGGTTAGTTAACCAGGAATACCGGTTGGGTGGACCGATCTCAAAAATATGATCAAACACGTGTAAAAATCTGCAAAAGAGCTAAAGAAACAAAAAAAATATGTAGTACAGCATATCTGAAATAGGAAGAACATTTCAAGCTTTGCTTATTAAATGTTTGCTGAAGAAGAAAATTCAAACCTTATACCTTATTTATGTTAATGAAAAGCTTGAATAAAAGTCATATTTTTCACAAGTCTGGTTATAGTTTGATGTACCTTGAAATGTTTAAAGGAGGAACTGTATTTTAATCCGTTAGTGTAAATTATTACAATAATTTGCTGCATTTTACTTCATGATTCCATAATAGATGTACAAAGCAATTTTGTTCATTTTATTCCGCAGATGTCCTGGCTGCAACTACTCGGCAGTCTTGGATATGGCTGTAAAAAGGTTTCAGTGTCTTCAGTGTAATGAGGTAAGTTGTTTGTTTTTCTATAGTACAAAATTATTACTTATGATATTCAAAAGGTATCTTGTTAAAAGAGTGTTTGGAAACATTGGATTCCTCGTAAAAGAGTATCTATGGTAGTTGAAACCTGACAGGAAAATTGTGTTCCATTATGTTAGGAAGCTTCCATCAACTTACGGAAGGTTTGTGGTTCTACTCAGGTGCTTGAAATAATGTACAGAGGGGCAACTCAGGTCTTCCTCCACCTGTAAAGCTGGAAAATTGCTTTATGGTCTTCTTAGTGTCAGTGTGACTTAAAGTCCAGCAAAGCAAACTAACAAATGTGAAAATGATACTGTTCTGTCTATTTGTACCCAAAGTAAAGGGCAGAAGAGGAAATTGCAGAAGGACTTTTTTCTTACCATTTGCCACTGCCAAAAATTTGCCATATATATGAAGAGATTCTTTCAAATGTACTTTGGTATAGTTAAATAGGCATTTCAGTGGGCTGAACTAGTTATTTACTACTTTTGTAATTATTTTAAGTGTGAAACTTTGTGACAAAGTTGTTACATACTTCAGATCTTGTGCATTAAATGAAAAAAATATCTGCTTGTGATTTAAATGTTCAAATGCGTAAATAAATCAAAGCTGCTACTAAGTTGTTGCTTATTCCATCTTTTTGTACGATTAAATAAACTCTTGGTAGAATATAATTCCTTACACATTTTAACGTTTGTAGGATGGCATGCTTGATTATTCTCAGTGCTTGATGGTTAGGTTTACAAACAGGATTTTCTGTATGTCAAAACTGGTCTTCAAAAGTGAGAAAAGTCGGTCTTTGTCCGTAGTACTAAAAAAAATTAATGTTATCCTTGCATTGCAAATGTACAGAAACTACTTGCATTGCACTATTCCAAATTGTAATTTACAAGCTTTTCTGACAGCTCCTGCTTGATTTATATATTAGTCTTACGTCGAGAATTAAATGGATTTTGACGCAGTGTCATCAAGAATTAATATGTTCCCTTCTAGGCATTCTGCCGTTACTGTGACAGGAAGTGGACTGAGCGTAAAACGCATGATTTGTGTATCCGAACAAAACAGTGGACGTCAACGGTTACAGGCAATGTTGTAAATATACCAGCACAATGGTCAGATCCTGACACAGATTCTGTTGATGGTAGATCAAAGGTATGAAAATGTTTTGTTTTTGACATAAAATAGAGATCAAATAATGTCATTTTCAGAAATGATAGCATTGTTAAAAATTCCCAGTGTAATCTTGAAAATGCCCCAAATATTTTGAAGAATTCCCATAAACCAGTGATTATGCATGTAAGTAGGACTTTTTATGAAAAAAATGCCATTTGAAAACTTGTATTATTTGAAGTAAAGGAATGTTTTAATTTGTAAGGTTTGATAAATTTTCGATTGCATTCAATGTTAAAATTTCCAAAGTTAATCAATTCAGTGATTTCATGTGTGCATAAAATCACTGTACCTATATTTGAGCCGTGTCACGACAAAACCAACATAATGGGTTTGCAGTCTGATCAGGATTCATGCTGTTCGCTATCAGTTTCTCGACTTGTAAAAGGGTTGGTAAGCAAACCCATTTTGTTGGTTTTGTCGTGAGACGGCTCATTTATTTTTTGTGGCCAGGAATTGGCATCCTTATGCGGACTTTTCAAACTGTTTGACCATACACGTTTTAAAAATTTTCATAATACTAGTGTTAAGTTATCAATGATATTATATATTATATTATGATAAGCCTAAAGATATGATTGTTATTTACATATACATAGAGTCACACAATTGTTGAATTGGACAAATCTTCGGCGGAATTTTGTGATGTTGTACACTTCATGAACAAGGATATGTCGTCAAATGTGAAGAAGATTTTCAGGATTCAGAATGAGAGGCTGTGGGAAAAATATTCATTGTAAGAATTTATTTCCCTATTTTCTGCTGAATTTGTATAATGGACTTGCCCTGTTTTGAATTTGAAACAGTCCATTCCAAGTTTTAGGGATTCCAATGTGAAAAAATACAAAAATTGAGCTACTAACAGTTTAAACATTCAACCTGCTGAATTTTTATAATAGACTTGCCCTGTTTGGAACAGTCCATTCCAAGTTTAAGGGAGTCCAATGTAAAAAATACAAAAATTTAGCTACTAACAGTTTGAACTGTTTAAACATTAAACCTGCTGAATTTGTATAATAGACTTGCCCTATTTCGAATTTGGAACAGTCCATTCCAAGTTTAAGGGAGTCCAATGTAAAAAATACAAAAATTTAGCTTCTAACAGTTTGAACTGTTTAAACATTAAACCTGCTGAATTTGTATAATAGACTTGCCCTATTTCGAATTTGGAACAGTCCATTCCAAGTTTAAGGGAGTCTAATGTAAAAAAAATACAAAAAATTGAGCTTTTTACTGTATGTTATAACTTATATGTCACAGCCTGGTCAGACTGTACGAATGTGAAAGCTGGCCTGGTTCTATAGTGGTGATATAGGCCAATCACTTGTTGCCTGCAGGTTAAGAGTTTAAGTCTCTCATTTACTGAATAAGAGTCTTGTTTTAAGTTGAAACTTTCTGGTTAGAGTTTGCATACAAGGTCTCATCTTCACAAATACTTAAAGATGTTCATGTGTGTGGATTTTAAGTTTTGGTCAATATTTAAAATGAAATAGTACTTAAGATTGGGGATGCATGGACATTTTACTGACCTTCCAATGGCCTGGCATAGCCAATAGTCTAGTCTACATTTAAAACTTACTGCTGTTGAACTTCTAACATTTTTTTTTTGCTCATTAAGGTCTTTATTTTAAAATACTCAATGAAATAGAGGATATTTGTTTAGTTCAGTGTAAGATCTGATATATTTCACCGAGTGAGCACCAAAAGGTATATTTCACAAGTGGCGCAGCAACAAGTGAAATATGAACTTTTGGTGTTCACGAGGTGAAATATACAGTCATGTCCGGTCATCTTGCGCGGCCGGTGATCTTGCGCACTCGGCACCGGAAATATATTTCCTTTTGTTTGGTTGTTTGTTTATGCTTTTGCTAGAAATTTTCAGCCAAAACTTGTATCTTGGACTTAAACAAGGTAAGAAAGTTAAAAAATATCTGTCAAACATGTTTGTTTACATTATTTCGTCATCCTAATTATTTATTCATAAACACGCCCACTGACCTATTTTCCCATTATATTCCTGTCTATTCATCCAGTTCCAAAATTTTACGTCCAGCAAGAATGAAAATCAATATCACACATTTGAAAACAGTATTGCACCGATAAAACGTTGTAAATTTCCTTTTTTCCCTTTGCAAATAAAGGTGTATTCAGTTGTTATCTCCTGCCGATTCCCGCCATCTTGTCAAAATGGAAAGCCCCTCCCGCGCTTTTCATTTTTTTTTCTCCGGAAGCGTAAAAGGGTCATCTTTTACAAAATTTGAAAAGAAAATGAATGACTAAAACAGAACAACGATTTTAATCATAAAAATAAAATTTAAAAAAGTAAGATGCCAGGTAGTGATGATTTCAGGTATCCCAGGTGTAGTAGTGAACAGTAAAATAACAAACCCTTGATGTAAATAAGTTTGTGTTACAGTTTTGTTTGAACAGTTTGAATAGTTTAAATTAACTTTTCATTAACTGGACTCACAAACTTTATATTAATAGTACTACTGGGACATCATACTTTAAAAACAAGCTACCATGACGTCATTCATAACACATGCGCAAGATCACCGGACAATTGAATGTTGGGATTAAACATGGTGTCAAGTGTTTACATTGTTGCACTCTTGAAGTTTAATGAGTTATTTCCAAAAAATATTTGTGTTATAATATGTCTTTAAGATTTTTGCAAATAGGAAAATAATTATGATTTTTTATGCCCCCACAGAGTGGGAGCATATAGCGTTGCACTTGTCCGTCCGAGTGTCAGTCCGTCAGTCCGTCCGTACGTCCCGAAATCTTGTGAACGCAACTCCTCTTAAACCGGATGGCAGATTTTGCTTTAACTTACAGGGATGAACAACCTTAATGTGTAGATGGTAGTAAAGGAAGGAATTTTCGCTGCGACCAAATTTAACAGAATTATGGCCCTTTGTTGATTTTTTCACTAGATACTATGAAGAAATTTTGTGAACGCAACTCCTCTTAAACCGCATGGCAGATTTTGCTCAAACTTACAGGGATGAACAACCTTAATATGTAGATGGTAGTAAAGGAAGGAATTTTTGCTGCGACCAAATTTAACAGAATTATGGCCCTTTGTTGATTTTTTCACTATATACTATGTAGAAATTTTGTGAATGTAACTCCTCTTAAACCGCATGGCAGATTTTGCTCAAACTTACAGGGATGAACAACCTTAAGGTGAAGATGGTAGTAAAGGAAGGAATTTTCGCTGCGACCAAACTTTACAGAATTATGGCCCTTTGTTGATTTTTTTCACTATATACTATATAGAAATTTTGTGAATGCAACTCCTCTTAAACCGTATGGCAGATTTTGCTCAAACTTCCAAGGATGAACAACCTTTATGTGTAGATGGCAGTAAAGGAAGGAATTTTTGCTGCAACCAAATTTAACAGAATTATGGCCCTTTGTTGTTTTTTTCATTCTAATACTATGTAGAAATTTTGTGAACGCAACTCCTCTTAAACCGGATGGCAGATTTTGCTTAAACTTCCAGGGATTAACAACCTTAATGTGTAGATGGTAGTAAAGGTAGGAATTTTTGCTGCGACCAAATTTAACAGAATTATGGCCCTTTGTTGATTTTTAGTTTTCAACTTGTGGCACATGTAGTCCAAAAAATATTTGACCTAGAGTCATAAGATTGACAGAACAGTGGTGTGTGGGGGCATCCGTGTCCTATGGACACATTTCTAGTTTGTATTTATTTGAATCGTAGTAAATTAGCCGATAAGTGCTTAGGTGCGCAAGATTACCGGACAGCATCGTATTCCAATCTTACAATAAACTAAACATGATTATTTTCTTTTTATTATAAGTAAAGAAACATTAAAAATTATTATAAGTAAAGAAATATTAAAAGAAAGACATTTTAACCTAATACTAAATGAAAAGTGTGTCAAATAATAATACAATGTGACATCATTTACCATGTCACGTCATTAAGTTGGTTTCCAGTACTGTGCACGCTGGTATTTCCCTGAAACAACGTAACAGGCTTTAAATTCAAAACAGTGAGAATATCAGTTTTATTTTTCACTGATATATTTTTCATAACCCACCAAAAAGCATGTAATAATATGTTTGTATTTTTCAGGTCACGGAGTCACATGGTAGCAGACCTGGGAGAACTTAATATCAATGAGAAAAGATTGTTTCACGGAACACATAGTGATGTCATTGAAGCCATATGTAAGGAAGGTTTTGATTGGAGGTTGTGTGGAAAACATGGCACAGTTTACGGACAAGGTGAGTAGTAAATGTTAGGAAAATTTTGATTGGAGGATTTTTTGCAAAAATGGCACAATTTCTAGATAAGATTAGAGATACATATAATTTAAAGCGAGGATTTGGTTTTGGGGCTTTGTTTGATAATAGGTACATTTCATTTGAATTTAGCATATTTAGTTCAGTATTCACAAGAGTGATGAATTGTGATTGTTAGGAAAGAAGGTAGGTGAAAAAATAAGAGAACAGGTTTAAGAAAGAAATTCGAACTAAGTAAGAAGAATATCTGAATTGACCCTTTGAATCTAAATTTGCTTAAAAGACTTGACTTTGCCAAGTTTCAGACTGATCATTTGAAGTTTTTTGGATTTGAGTATCAGATATATTAAATATAACTGCAAGCGTTATTGTGCCTGGCCAGACTGTACGTGTTTGTTAAGGCTGGCCTGACTGTACACAGGTTGGATAGATCTGTTATCAACACTTTATAAGTTACAGTGGAATTATAGTGGATGCCAAAAAGGCAGTGCTGGTGAACATTTGGTGAACAGGTTAATTACATGTGCTTCCACATCAGCATGTTACAGTCCAACATTCAATATCCGGTTAGGACTGGTTGCCGGTTTAAGACCCACTAGTTGACTGCTTTCTGGGTGTTCTGACCAGTAATGGCACCAGCGTGGAGTTTAATTGGAAGTCCACCACAAGTGGGTTTCAAACCCACAACATCTGTATTAGGAGTCTTATGCTATAACCCTACGCCACTATTTCTTCGTAAATGTATATTTGTGGTTGCCTAATATTTCATTACAAAAGTTATTTTCAATTTAGATGTACATGAATATATGCAATGTGTATGGAAAAACAAGACACTTTTGTATTGTTTATTTTCAGGTACATATTTTGCCAAGAGTCCATGGTTATCCCATCAATATTCATCAGGGAATTCATCCAGGCGAGGCAGACCTAATATAGGGGGTACGTTAATTTACTTAGATTGTCAATCGGAACGTCCTCTGCTATTATCTGTAATAACCTCGTAGTTAATACAGAGTGAAAGATGTTTACATGGTTTCAATTGTAATTATAAACAGAGAGTGTAATCTAAGATAATGTATATAGGTATTTGACATCCAAAAGAAAATAAAGTCTGTTTCGGTACAATTATGATTGAAAATATGTCTGACAACCATTTATAATTTAGATATGCCCACTGATATACAATTTTAAACAAATGCGACCCAGTGTCATCAGGTTAGCATTTTACTCTTTCATCATAAGTTGTAATATTAATCATTCAGAGAAAAAAGACAATTCTTATTTTTAGCTCGACTTTTCTATGAAAAGGGGAGCTATCCTACTCGCCCCGGCGTCGGCGTTAGCGTTGGCGTCACACCTTGGTTAAGTTTTTCGTACCACCCCACTTTATTTCAGAAGTATTACAAGTATGGCTTTGAAACTTACCATACTTGTTCACCATCATAACCTCCATCTACAGACAAGAGTACATAACTCTGTCAAGGTTTTTGACAGAATTATGGCCCTTTTTTGACTTAGAAAGTGTATTGAGCTTGGTTAAGTTTTTTGTACCACCTCACTTTATTTCAAAACCATTGGAGGTATTGCTTTGAAACTGACCATACTTGTTTACCATCACGACCTTCATCAACAGACAAGAGGACATAACTCTGTCAAGGTTTTTTTGACAGAATTATGCCCCTTTTTGACTTAGAAAATACATTGAATATGGGTAAAATCCACTTATTGCCTTAACCCTTTGAGATATTGCTTTGAAACTTTTAATGCTATTTCACATCATTACCCCCATCTGTACGCAAGAGAAGGTAACTCTGTCAAGGATTTGTTTTAAAAATTAAGGCCTTTTATCGACTTAGAATCTTGGTTAAGTTTTTAGTACCAGTCCACTTTTTGACTGAACTGTTTGAGATATTAATTTGAAAGTTGGAATACTTGTTTACCATCATGGTCCCAAAACATGGGCAGGAGAAGGTAATTCTGTTAAGGATTTTATTTGAATTATGGCCCTTTTTGACTTAGAAACTCAGTTAAGATTTTCATTCTTGTCCACTTGTTGACTTAACCATTTGAGATATTACTTTGGAAGTTGGAGTTCTTATGTGCCATCATGAGACCTATCTGTAAGCAAGAGAAGATAACTCTGTGAAAATGTTTCTTGATTTGTACTTAGAAATTCCTAGTTAAAGTGTTGTGTGCCCTTAACTGTCAAAGTTTTGTTTTATAGGCAAGCACTAAAAAAGTCGAGCGCGCTGTCCTTCTGACAGCTCTTGTTGTTAGATCCCCTGAGCACAAAGTGAACTTTTGTGATGGCAGTGTGTCTGTTGTAAGTTGTCCGTTGTTCCTTATTGTCCACCGTTGTTCTTTATTGTCCACAGTTTCTTTGAATAACTTCTCTTCATCAAGCAATTAATGGATTTTGACCAATCTTTACAGCAAGGGTTTTAGATGGTTCTCAACAAAAGTTATATACATGTTTCCAGTCTGATACATAAGTGGGTGACAGGAGTATAAAAAACTTCTACTCAGAAATTACAATGCCCAGAGCTTAGATATTTGGCATGTAGCATTCATAACCTTGTGGTCCTCTATAAATGTTAGGTGAGTTATACCCCTTGGATTGAAATGGTCCCAACCTGGGGGTTGCTAAGTTTACATAGACTTGTTGTGTTTAAAATCTTCTTGTCTGATGAAAGCACGTTTCCAGGAGTTTTACATATTTTTGTCATGAAGCATTTCCCCAGCAGATATCAACAAATATTGTTAAAATTATGCAGCACTGAGAGAGAGAAAAAAGACACATTGCAATGTGATTCCATTACTGGCCTTACTCTTTCTTCTGCATGAATCTTCAGTTTGAGCAAAACCAGGGCATAGCCCTCTTTGTTTTATTGTAAGTACATGATAAAATGATTATTGTATGATTTTTCAGGGTCAGGATTTTATTTTAGTAAGCCTACAGGACCATCCACGCAATATAAACCCCCTCTAAGATTTGGAGGTTCAAGCAACTGGTACATCACAGTCAGGTTTTTACATTTTGGAGGAAAATCCTATTGTCTCAGCAGCGGGGAAGCACTGGTTATCACTTTTGGACAAAGCAGGCCAAGTTCTAAAAGGATTTCACTGGATTTGGAATCCGCGGATTTAGACTTAACCAGGGTGGGTTTCAAACTAGGGACCCTTTGCAACGGGAAAATTTGGGGTTTTCGGGTTTTGGAAAACCTTTCAATCAAAAAGGGCTTTCCCGTTATTCTGAACCTCCCAGCCAAGTTTCTGGGAAACACCTTTCAACTTTTTGTTTTCCGAAGACCGTACAAAACTCTGGGGGAAGTGTAAAACGGGGCAAAAAGGGGGGTCCCCTTGTCCGCAGGCGGGGGAAAGGCTGCACAAATTTTTTTTGCCCACATCCCAATTTGATTGGAAACAGCAACAGAGTTTTTAAAATTCCCTTTAAACTTCCACTGACCCACCTTAAAGAAATTTATGTTTCTAAACTGTATTTTATGCACACCAAAAAAAAAAGCAACTGATCCTGTTCTCCACAACTTGCATGTCATTCATTAGCATCTCAAACAGTTTCAGAATTTCCCAGTTTCGTATTGCCGCTTCAAATGTTAGCTAAAACTTCACAAAAGTGAATAAAGATCTTCTCAAAGATTCGCAACAAGGGA